CTACCATTATCACAATTGCTACAGAAATACGCGGTCACTGGTTAGGATAAGCAATAAACAAGGTTTGTTCTTGTCTGAGCATTGATTTCAAGCTTTACCTCATTTGGAGTTAGCAACGAATCCTTCTAAAACGTACATGGATACCGTTTGCACAGCTTCCTTAGGGCTTCCGGTGTGACTATTTCCGGCCTCTAGGAGAACCTGACTGCAGTACACCGGTTTTTCCACTGTGTGCCAAATCGGTTTATTCCATTGTGGTTTTGTGCATTCAATTATATCTATCTCAATCAGAAATGTCTCAAAAAAGCAAGGCTACCAAGAACACCTGCGTATCATGCTCCAGGATTATGGGCCCGAGGGCCAAAGCGCTCCGTTTTGATGAGTGTGAAGGATGGCTACACCTGAAATGCTCCCAGATCGACTCGGACAAATACGAATGGCTAGAAAAACGTCTTTCCTCATTCCTGAAGATCGTGGGCTGCAGGTGCCCGATCATTACTTCCAAGGAAGGCGAATCTTCACTTCCAAAATACTTTCCATCCCCCATAATGCCGGCTACTGTGGTGAAAGTGACCCCTTCGTATGTAGATGTCACTTCCACTCCACCTACAAAGGAAACTCCTGCAGCCACACCGGAGCAGAAGCAGCCGAACAAAGGGGCAGGGCTATCGTCCGCTGCATCGCCCCCACGGACAGACTCAGCTCCACGACATCCAGGTAAGATGCGTGTAACCAGTCACGGACAACTGAGAGATGCCCCTGCGGTTCGCAGGAACCTGTGCAGCAGAGGAAACTCCTTCCGAGATCGCAGTGCATCATTGTTGTCAATCTTCCATAGGCTGAGGCCACCACCACCTAGGCTCGATTGGACCACGACCTGCAGCTGCTGCGGTCACACATGGCTACCTTGTTTGATGGTGGCGAGGTGGAAACAGAAACATCAATCACAGTAAAAGCTGCATTCCGGCTTGGAAAACCTCGCCAGGATAACTCTCCACGGCCTCTGAAAGTGGTTCTACGGGCAGAAGGNGAAGCCAAAACGATACTCCAGCGGACCCACGAACTGAAGGGAACTCCGGTGCCGTTCCTCACGGATCTTGATTCGGACCAGCGCAGTAAACTGAGAGCTACAGTGGAGGAACTCAGGGAGCGCCGTTCAAAAAGGAAAACTGATTTGTGTGCATCGGAGGTGCCCTCAGCTACTTTGTGGGTAAAGTAATGGATCGACTGGTGGCTGAAATTCTCTTCAAGCGGATCTGAACAACCTTGCTCAGTCAGCGGATACCTGGGCTCTTCCAGTCAACACCGCAAAGTGTGCTCACCTGCACTTAGGGCGTGTTGATTCAGAGGTAATCTAAGCTTCCAGGGAACCACATTGCGCAGAACATCGCGCAAAAGAGACCCGGGTTTATGGTTACGTCATCATTAAAGACCCGAGAAAACACCGATCGGGCCTGTGCCAGCGCGTGGAACATTCTGGTGTCTATCCGGCAGTCTTTCAACCGGCTCACGATGGACGCTTTCAGACTGTTATACGCTTCCCATGTCAGACCAAGACTTGAGTGTGGTGGTGCGGCGACATACCCCTGCACGGCCGGTGAACTGGATAAGTTGGAGCGTGCAAAACGTGCTGCCACTAGAGTCGTTGTTGGACAATGCGGGACCAGCTATGAAGGTCGTCTACAGGCTACTGGTCTGTTCCTAGTTGCGTATCGGCGCCTCAGGGGAGATCTCATCTGTCTGAGGAAGATCCTGAGGGGTAATATGGGCCCAGAGTTGCATCGGCATTTCCCTTTACGTTCGGAGGACCGCAAGCGGGGGAACTCTCTCACGTTGCGGAAACTTCAGTCAGTTAGTCTTCCGTTAGTCTACCGACTCTCACGGAGGTCAACAGCACTCTGGAATTCCCTTCCAGTGACCGTGATGGAGGAGAAGACAGACGCTACTTTCTAACGGCGTCTGGATGAGCACCTGAAGGGGCTATGGAGGAACGAACACTTGTGACCGGACCTTCGACCAAGTGGAGATGCGGCTTACATGGGCGCCCTACCCTCTGCCCTCAATACTGAAGACTGAAGACTGGTTGGTTTTATGTCATTTTCATTGTGTTTGCCTCGCGCAGTAATTCAATAGAGCTTACTACTAACTAACTACTAAAGTGAATAAAGTCATGCAGCACAACCTGTTTGTCCGAAATAGATGATTTCAGAGGGCCTGAACTGTGGGAGGCCACAACAGTAGTGATCCAGGCCTACGTGATGACGCCTACCCTGAAGCGACGCGTTACAATTTCTGGACAACTGCGATCAAGCAAATTTGAAAGAGTATGCCGATGACGCGCGAGCGCGTCACGGCTTCTGACTACACGCCATTGGTGAATCGTGCCAGCCAATTCGAGATAGTGCAGTCCAGACAGAAGCAGAATTATGCAAGCAATACTGCAATATGGTTGGTAGAAGCCTAGTTAGCCAATGATCTTCCTTTGTACATATTATTTATTGGCTTTCATTTCTTCTAATAAAGGAACTACGAGTTGCCATTCTTGTGGCCTTTTCCTCGCGTCTCATTCACGTGGGATGTTGCAATCTCATACCATTGTGGTCCAGTGCTTTCGTAATCCGGTCCGTGATAGCTGATCCTTGATTCGTGTCCTGTGGTTCCTATTGTGTGGTTTGTATTCCCATTTTGTTGCGTATTACTACTACTACTACTACTACTACTACCACCACTAGAATTATTACGTGAACGCTATCTACTGACCGTAATACACAGCGCATACAGAACAGAATTGATAATTCCGCATGATTAGAAGATCAAAAAATTGGTTTGCTGTGATTGTAATCGTCAAGCCGTCGGGCATTAATGTGTTGTCTTTGTTCGAAGGATATCCCCTCATCCATTAACATAACAGTTAATTTTTTCATTGAAATTTCCACATGATCTCGAGCGGCAGGCAACGTGCGACTGCATCACGAATTAAACCGAATAATGAAGAGCTGATAATCCAACACGCTGACCACCTGGATTGTCCTAGTTGGTTTTCAACACGTTGCTGCCTTTCTACACTATACGAAATAGCATTCATCCGTCAGTGTGATTGAGCGTACAGTATGGAATATTGATGAATTCCTAGTTACAAGGGAAACGTTCATACCACAAGAAAAGATGCGGCTTTCATGAACGAGATCGATCTCTCATACCACTTCAATGAATTTCTTTGTGTCCGATTCCCATCCCTGAAATTGTTTTGCCTCAGTTGACGGTGCTTCAGTTGTTTTTGTGTTTTCCGCCTTTCGCGGTGAACAGTTCAACATATAGTTCCTTTTTGGTAGCTTTTTCTTGGTTCTCGTTTCAATATCACCCACCCACTCACATACACATCAAGGACATCAAGGAGATAACCGAGGGGTGATATACGGCCGCTCCAATTGTGCACTCCAATTTTAGGTGGAATTTCCCTATCAAAGCTCATTGTACATCGTCCAATTTATGTTCATCCGACCCAACTATGTGCGCTTTTCTGTGTTGATCGAAACCTGCAAAGATACTAATGCTAGCCAATTTTGTTTATTTGTATTCATCGTGTCAATTTTGTGGTATCGATCGAAAGAAGGTTCAGCTTTCTTCCCAACGAATTCATCTAAGTTCAGTTATAAGCATTCTGCGGAGATATGTTACTGCTCGGTTCTGTCATTACTACCGCCGCGTTTGTACTTGTGTTTGTGCCTCCGAGGCCAGTAAGATCGATCGATACTCGCAACGTGACTTTTGTCATTGTTCGATGCACTTGTGGTCGCCCCTGTCCCGGACGAGTGGACGACCGATACAACCCGTTTCGGTTTCACGTGACCTTTACACTCTGTCCGTCTCGACTTTCGAAAAGTGCGAAACTGGGACGTAACCACATGACAATACGTGCACCTGGTGTTTCACCGACGTTTGAAGCATGTAGTCCACTGAGTTGTGGGAAAGACGTTAAAGAACACATCTCATGGACACTTTGCCCGAAATGCCTCCTGAATCAAACTCTTGGTAAAACAGGTTAAAACACTAGTGACACGGACGGAATGTCTACGGTTCGGTACAGAATGTGTGAAAATCCCTATTTGAAAGTGTAAAGCGCGTTTACACAAAAGTATGAAAAGCTGTTATCAGTTGCTGAAGAGATAGCCGAATTAAAAAATGTAACGACAAACCAAAATCAAAGGGTTTGAGTTCCCAGGTCAAGCCAATAAGCTCCATCCAGATAACGAGTAAACGACCTAAATGTTCAGTAAATATGGCCGAACCCGTCGCGGCGACCAAAGCTACGGCGAACGCCCTTGCTAGCCCAGAGCCTCTAGTGTCCACTCCTTTAACGAAAAACACATTTGCCGGTAAAAATGAAAGTCGCGACCAACACTGATTTGTTCCAATTTATCCGAACCCATAATTTTGACAGTAAGAGAGTGACCATGGAAAGAGGTGAGCTGCTAGAATGCTTTCTGTGTCCAAATGGGGAATAGCACCCAATCTGTAGTTGTCACACGTCTTCGGTAACACTTAAGTTTACTTCACACTGGGCAACTGTGGTGATCGTGTAACGAGTACGCACGAACCGCGGTACAGTTTCCAGGTAACCAATCAAGAAGCGGGATAACCGACCAACCCTGTGTTCTAAATTGACATCATCCGGATTGGCTGAATGCAAGAAGGCAAACAGATAAACCATATCCTTGTCGATTGGACATTNCCAATGATTGTTTGTTGCTTGTAATATATATTTCCATGATTTTCTGAATAGAATTAATTGTATCCACAGCTCGTCTTGGTTCTACCTGACTTTGCGCTATTCAGTGGGTTTTCAGTCCGATACCGAGTTCGCGCTAGTCGATTTCGATTCCTATTCTGAATACTACAGCAACCTAGGTTACTTCGAGTGACGCTGGGGAAAGAAACTGATGTAGGAGAGGTTTTTCTGTACATCTTTCTAAAACGAAGTAGTTTAAGTAAAACAAAGATTCTAACCGACAGACCATGGAGCGAGCCCATGCACTAATGGAATAATCCTGCTAGTGTATGCAAAACAGAGAATGCACGCGTGATTCTTTTATACGGAGTCTCGCAATCGAATAGCTCAGATACATCAAAATGCCAGGAAGTCGACTGTAAGGAGTTGTAGTTCGCACAAGATTTGATGGATGTCGTCATATCTCGACTACCGCAGTTTGCCACCTTCCCTGAACTCCAAACTACCGCGGAGATCGCCAGAGAATAACGAAACTGACATTGGGAGCATCCGAATTTGCTACAGAATGAGTACCCCCAAACAGCCCCTAATCGACCAGGATGTGCTCAGCTAAATTAATCCTTCATGCCTCAACTAATTGCCGCTCCACCATCAACTGTATCATTTGTTCACAAATTTCCAAGGTTGTTTTTGCAAAATTTCAGACCTGAAACTGCTCTGACAAACCAACCAATGGGACATAATTGCGGTTACCAAAAATTGGCTGACAACCGACATTCAGGACTATGGATTTCGATTACCCAGGATGATGCTTCTCAGACACCATCGTCCTACGAGAAGAGGCGGCGTGCTTCTCTTTTTAATTGACTACCCTGCTACCCTTTCTAACTAACCCTGGTGCAAAGTAAAACTGTCAAGACAAGACATCGGCTTGATCAGTGTGGTTTAATGTTCTCCTGCATTCACAAAATCAGTCAATGAGACGTTACTGCAAACTATTTTTCATATTCTGTCATCGAAATTCACGCATTATGGGCCACTTCAATTACCCAAACCTGACTAAATCAGTAACCTCTAACGTTTCAGAGGAATCTCGCTCTATTTATTGAATCCTACCCATCTTAGAAATTTTTAAAGGAATCAACCAGATTTGGAACCGATCAGTCGTCGTCAGTCTTGAATTTGGCGCTAGCAAACGAGAAGTCGATGTTGGAAATGATTTCGACTACAACCCCATTTGGGTGCAGTAACCATAATGCATTGTTGTTTCTTTACATTTCCTGCGCATCATGGTCTCAAATTTCTACGTTTATTGATGAGACATTTGACGTTTTGTTGGAAGATATCAAATGAGATTTCTACAACAAACATTGTGATCCTTTTGTATCCAAGCGAGAATTTACGGGCTATTTCACGGAAGTGACGATTTTGACCTAACCAAATGGTAAAAGCATTAGTCAATCTCAACCACGTAAATTTATTTCGCTGATAAACAACTCACGGCAAACGTACGACTGATTTCCCTTTGAAAACACACCGTATACCTGCTGTCTACTGCGAATACATTGCACCAAGTTAGTCGGGAAAACAAGTATATGTGCCAAGAAAAGTTTATATCCAAGCCGAAGTTGTTTTACACACACATCAATGCCTCCAGCTAAATCATTTCTGACATTCCAGCTCTAATTTTGGCAGAAAGAGTTTCAGTCACAGCAAAAGAGGCAGCCGAAATGTTACAAAAATTCAATTCGCCTAAGTGTTCACTGCACATGCCAACGTTGGACTACAACTGTCTCGGGACAAACCACATCCAGGGTCAACCACAATTGATCCCCTCCTCCATCTATGAAAACAACGTCAAAACTACTGTGTTTTAAAAGAATTCATCTCCGGGGTTAGATAACATCCATCCACAATCCCTTCTCAACCTGGCAGGTGAAATAACTCAATCATTACGTGAACTACTTCAACATATGTTCAACATTGATGTGCTTCTAATAATATGGTAAAATGAATGATTTCACCTTTATATGCAAAGGTATCTGTCATGGTGATGGGGCTAACTATCACCCAGTCTCACTTCTCCCCGTATTACCCAAAGTTATGGAATCCATTGTTGCTGACAATGTGATAGATCACTTGAACAGATACAACGTATTATCCTCGGTGCAACATGGATTTCGGTACAAGCGATCGTTTACCACCAACCTGCTTCTGGCCGAGAAGAACGAGCTAAAGCAGCTGATGATGGTGATGAACAGGACATAGTGTACCTTAAAGTTCCCAAGGCATTAGGCCCTGTGAACCACAACATATTGCTGAGGAAACGTTACACATGCGGATTTTGGGGACTTGTCCTGGGTTGAATAGAAGAATTTATTCGACTATGCACCATGGCAGTGTGTGGTTCTGGGTCATTATTTTGTCCTGATCCGTGCTTGACCGTCAAACCCTTTCTATAGTTTTCATAGGTGTTCTAACGGAGGTTCTGGAGAGACAAACGGTAATGTATACAGATGACGCAAAAATATGGAACAGTGTAACAAAACCTGAAGACTTACTGGCACCTCGGAGAATACCCAGTGCAGTTTATCAAAGGCCAATCGAAAATGACATCCAATTCAATGCATCGAAATGTACGGGTGTATCCCTTCGCCACAAAGACTCGGTTTCGGCACTTCGTGAGACATCAGACACTTGCATATGCCTCGAATGAGAAGGATCTCGGTGTCATCGTTCAAGACGACCATCGCTATTCTGTTAACTGCTCCAGGAGGTTGTCCACTGCTGCAAAACACGTTGACTAGCTAAAGCGAGTCTTTGGCTAAATTGAACCTATGGTTTTCCGACGTTTTCTGTCAACCTACTTCGGACCCCATATAGAGTACGCCATTCAAACGTGCAAACCATACCTGTAACGCGATCGTAAGATTTTGGAAGATCTTCAGAGGATTGCCAACTAAATGATCAAGGAACCAAACTCAAACATATATTTGGAAAGACTGCAATCATTGAGGTTTTCCTCAACCCATTGTGGTCAAATTAGAAGATACTTGAATTTGGTTTATCAAATAATGCCGAACCGTGAAAGCCCATGTTGTGCACTGCTCACCCTGCCGCTCAAAACTCATTCACTTTAGTGGTCCAAAACTTTCGACCAGAACCCGTAAAACTCAGAAACAATAGAAAATATATAGTCAGTTATTATGGTTTATGTCTCCACATGTGGGACCGGTAAGTGACCCTCTCCGCCGAGTACTCAGCACAACCTAAATTTTGACGCATTTCCAGCGTTTATAACTATTACTTTTAACCACGTGACATAAGACGTTGCACACACTCAATCTCACTGCATGCGATTGGTCGCTCCTGAAAGCACCCGATCGTAAATGGTGAATACGAGCATTCAAAAGGTGTTCTGTATGCTAAGAACTCGATGTGCAAGATGCGATCATTTCGTCTCAAGTTATGGAGCGTAGGGTTTTTTCAAGTTTACTTGAATTCATAATAATTTCTTCACTGCAATACTTTTTACAGTTCTATTTTAACCCTTGATTTTGTTCCTACAGCTGTGTCATGGATACTACCACATGTACAAATAGCGATGCAGTTAAATAAGTGTATTTCGTAAGTAAACTGAGGAGTGTGTGGGGGAGAGAATGAAGTTTTGGGTGGGAAGGAAGTTGAAATATTTCATTACATGTCGTTATTTCATGTGAGTAACGGAGGATTTGGTTCAATTTCAAAGGGGAAATTTGCCGTGTACATGTGAAATGAAATGTGAACTGAAAAGCTAGGAAGCACTGGACAGCTGTTTTGACCCAACCAGGTCGAAACAGCTGTCCAGTGCTTCCTAGCTTTTCAGTTCACATTTCATTTCACATGCAGTTATCTTTCGCGAATCTGATAAGCTGCCCAATATGTGGAGTCAGCTTGAAGACATCGATTTTTAATGTCACTTTACTCCGTAAAAACCGAAAACACTGAGTGAATCGATAGTAACTGAATCATCTAATTTTGTCTGTTTTATTATGCACCATGATGTCTCCGGACTACTCCAGAGCGAATCGATCAAACCAGGCCATTAATATCGTGAGGTTGTCTCATCACCTTCGGCCTTACGTCGGGTATTCGGAGATCTACGAGGCTTATGGTAGTTCGTAACCGAGATTATTTCATTAGTATTCATTTGGTTAAAAGCTGATCATGTTGTGATTCTCGACCAACCAATAATTCGTCACAGATTGATTGCATATTTTAAGAGCCCATTCACATTAGGATAAGTTGAGGAATCTGTCAAGTGCATCTGTATACTCACATGACCAATCTGCAATAAAAGAGCCAAAAATTATCAGTCAAACGCACGTACATGCGCACCCAGTTCAGTCATTGTACACACACTTGATGACACCGAAACGAAACGACATCGATCGTTTCTGAATCAGTTAGCTTCAAACTTGAATTAAATTGCAATTCGAGTGGAACTATGTTAAATTTGGACGAGGTCACTATAACTTCAGGGACACTCACAATAAATTTAACCAAGTAACCTTTCTGTATTCTACCTCGGGATTATGGTGTACAGATTTGATTATTGCACAAATATTGACCAATCCGAGGTCCACAGAAATCTTTGCAAACAAATAAATGTATTTCTTAAATGAGCTGTGGAGTGA